GGCAACCCCCAGCACTTGTTGGGATGGGCCAAGGCGGTAAGAGTACTGCAGGTCAGGAGTTTCGAAGACCAGCCTGGAACAGTAGGAGACCCTGTCTCTAAAAATATTTTTGTTTTCTAATAGCTGGGGAATGGTGTGTATACCGGTAGTCCGCAGGCTACTTGGAGCCCAAAGGCTGGGAGGAGTCACTTGAGCCCGCAGAGGTCAAGGTCTCGCAGTGGAGCTGGATTGTTTACTGGCATTCCAGCCTGGGTGACCAGAGGGTGCATTTGTCTCCAAACCAAAAATGAAACAAAAGCAAACCAAAAGACCAATATCCTTGCATGGCTGGATGAGGACAGTGTGTTCTTGTGCGCCAGAAGAAGTGGATCACTGTGTCATGGTTAACACCAGGGCTTGTATTGGGCTTTCTTGCTGCTTCCTCACAATGGCCCATGGGCCATCACAATGAGGGGGACTGGGGCTTGGTAGGGGTGAGTGGTAAGTACAGGGCCCTGGACTAGCAACCGGGGGCCTCTAACTGGGAAGCTGTGTAGTGGATCCCCCTGGAGCTGGGGCTTGCCCTGAGGTTGGCTGAGCCCACAGCCTGGGTCAGAGCCCCTGCGCAAAGCCTTGGACCAGTGGCAGCTTCCCAGGCTCCTGCCCAGGTCCCTGTCCGGGTGGCGTGACGTTTACCACTCAAGGCTGCACAGAGATGTGCTCGTCAGGTCTGAGGCGCTGATATCACTTCTCCAAGGGCTTGGCCAACTGGCACCACAGTTGAGCACCCTGCGGGTGACGGTGTGGGTGGTGGCTTCCAATGCCCTGACGAATGGGATTATTATCAGCCAGCACATCTGGCAGCCAGTCCCTGGCAGCGCTCAAGCACCTGCTGGGACCCCAGAGGGACAGAAGGGGGGCATTCTCCTTAGCAATGGTGGCCTCACCCTGTTGTGGCCAAACCAGGTGCAAGTCAGCCCATTCTGAGACTCTCTTGTGCTCCAGTGCACATTGGGCATGGGGAGGATGTCTGTTGGGCATCCTCCTGGGGGTAGGTGTATTGGGGGAGTGGGTACAACCAATGTGAGAGACACCCTGGCAGGAGACTGTGAGACCTTGGACAAGGAGTACCTGACCAAGACCTAGAGAATCAGGGAGGGCTTCCTGGAGGAGGTGACAGCAGAACCAAGAGCTGAAGGATGACAAAGGGTTAAGTGGGGACAGGGAAAGGGGTGATAATGTGGAGGGGCACAAGAAGGCTAGACCTGGAGGTGGGCATGGTGCCCAGGAGGTGAGGGCTTCCTTGGAGATCACGGATGCTGGCCCCAGTGAGGTCTCCGGTACTTGGGCGAGTGTGAGAGTAGATGCGGTGCTGGGCACCGTGGAGCAGGGGAAGTGGGGAGTGAACCCCCGCCTGCGCAGAGCTTATTAACTAGGGGTGGACCCAGCAAGTCAGTGCAAACTGTTGAGTATGAACTGAGTGTCCAGTGCTCAGGAACATTCCCGGCATCTCACTGCACTGTGGGCACTTGGGTGCGGCCCTGCCCTCGGTAGGTGACAGTACTCTAGGAGGTTGAAATGGCTCTTAGCACCTGCTGGGTGCTAAGCCCAGCGCTCTGCCTCCTCCAAGTCTACAGCCTCAGGGTCTCACATCCATGTCAGAGGACTTTGGGGCTGAGGTGCCCCGTTGGAAGGTTAGGTCAGCGAACAGAGCAGGGAGTGTCCAGGAACAGCACTTTCTGAAGAGGGCTGGGAGGAGGCCGGAATCTGCTCCAATCCGGCTCTGCCTTGGCCAAGTCACTCTACTCTTCTGTACAGCACTGAGGCCACCATAGCCGGCCCCTCTCTTGGGCCGTGGCTACCGAAGCAGCAGCTGGGGCACCTCTGGCCTCTGAAGAGTTGGAAAACTGGAGGGGCCTGGGGATATGGATTGTGGACCTGGCCCAGACGCTGTTCCTCCTGGCCTGTGGGTTTCAGGGGCATTCTATGGTAAGATAACCACTCTGGCCTCAGTTCCCCATCTAAGAATCCAGAGTCCCATCAGAGCTGTCTCCAAGTCTGGCCTCCCCCAGGGGTCCTGCTAGCCCCAGCATTACCCCGCTGGAAGGTGGCTGTCTTATGTGCATTTGGAGTGCACATCTGTCTTGGTGTATTTTTATTAATCCATGTTTATTGTCGTCTGTCTCATGAGGACAGGGACTTGTCCCACTCTGGCAGGTCCCCAGGGCCTTTCCTGCCCCGGCCCCACCCATGAGCACTTGCTCTTGCTCTTTGAGCGACTTTGCTCTTGCTGCAGCAGGGCCATTCTGCAGGAGGGGCTGGACGCAGACCTGAGCAACAAGGCCTTCCCATTCTCCACCCACAAGATGCTGAGAGCCACCAGGCAACTGGTAAGTTCCAGCTGGCCACATCCTCTGGGTCATGAGTGGCAGTATGCTGTGAGGGGAATGCCCAGGGGATCTGGGGGCTGGGGGCCCTTAGGCAGATTCCTTTACCTCCCTGGGCCTTGGTTCCCAACGGTGAAGGGGGGACAGTGGGACCAGGTGGCCCTCCCACAGGCTGTTTGGAGCTCGGAGAGGTCATGGGGATCAAAGTCACAGTGTCTTCCATCTCTTCCCAGTGCCCGGAACATGCCAGAGACTCAGTCCCAGGGAAGGTGGCCTCTGCCTCACCGCCTGCATCACCACTTATTATATCCCCACCTGAAAGGCACGGGGCAGCCCTCCCGAGGCCGAGTGACCCCCCTGGAAACAGGAGGGCTGAGCTCTGCTGAGCAGTAGCCAGCTCCAGAGGTCTCCATGTGACAGCCTCCCTGCTGCCATTGTGGGCGTGTGAGGAGGGGCTGCTGGGGTGGGAGCATAGACAGTCTCCAAAGAGCACTCCACACATCCCACGCCAGCTCTAGAAAGTCTCTATCCTGGGGGCCAGGGCCCACCTCTTCTGAGATGGTGGTAGTGTCTGGTGCCAGGACTCCATGAGACCCAGCCCCAGGCAGGAGGATCAGGGCCCAGGTTCTAGTTCTGGACCAGCACCTCCCTCTTCTGGGCTTCCTTTCCTTGTTGGAAAACAGGCATCTTGGCATCTCCTTTGACTTATCGAGGCTGAGATGGGGCGCGGATGGTAAACACAGCAGCCTGTTTGCTGAGGGCTTCCTGTGTGCCAGCCACTGTTCCGAGAACATCACAGCACACTTCCCTATGTAATCCTGCCTGCAGCATGGACGGCTCTGTTACAGGGTCTCCCGACCTCAGCACTATTGACATTTTGGTACAGAGCCTCCCTGCTGTGGGGCCCCTCCTGTGTGACGCAGGTGTGTGACAGCCTCCCTGGCTGCCGCCCACTAGATGCCAGAGGCACCCACCGTTGTGACAGCCACAAGTGTGTCTGGACATGGCCAAAGGTCCACTGGGGGCAGGGTCGCCTGTTGAGAACCTCGGTGCATGACCACCCTGTTTGTTTGCAGGTGTGTAAGCCATGCGGGGCAGCGGAGACCAGGCCTCCAGAGTCCTCTAGCGCTCATGCTGGAGAAGATATCACCCCACGTAACAGATGTTGCACAGATGGAGCTCAGAGAGGCTGGATGGGACACGCTGCTCAGGGCCAGCTGGCTAGAGAAACCCAGAAAGCCCCCGATATGTATCAGTGACATGGATGTGGCCTTCAGGAGGGGCTGGGCGGGTACACAGCCACATGTGTAGGTCGCTCCCTGTCTCTCCTTCCAGTATGTTCGTCTGCGGTTTGAGGGGAAAATGCTAAGGAAGGTTGGGGAGGAGCAAGGTCCTGGGGGACAAGTCTGGGTTCTGTTAGCAAATAAACAACATGGCAATGACTGTCAGGGAGGAGGCAGCCAGAGACCAGGGAGATCTCGGCGGCTCTGCTGTCACCTCCCCTCCAGAGGCTGCACAGGGGCAGGAAGCAGGGCTGGCCGTGTCTAGCTTGCTTCTTGCCTCTGTGGTGCAAAGCTGCCTGCTGGGACCAGAGAGGGTGGGTGCTCAGAAAGGGCAGCACAGCTTGATCCAGGCCACATGGCCTTCAGACATCTGGACTCCAGCTCCAGCAGGCCAGCCATGGGGTCCACGCAGTATCCAGCTTTGTCTGCAGCTGGGCTCTGGTTTGCAGAAGGGGAGGGGAGCTGAGGGTTTTCCCACCTTGCTGAGGCTTGGCATAGGTGTTACCTCTATATGGTTTGGCTGGAGGAGGGGGAGACGACCTGGTGGGAATATGTCCCCTTCCATTTGAGGCCCAGCAGCCTCACCCCCCACCCTCGCAGTCACTCTAGCAAGCTGCTGGGACTTGTTCTCAGACAGGCGGCTCCAGCTGCCTCCCCTCCCCTGAGGCTGGCCCTTTCCTGGCCCTGGAGGCCTCCCCAAGCCTGGGCAGCAGCTTCCTGGGTCCGCCTCCACCTGTGTGGCATAGGAGCCAGGCCAGGCCAGGTGCTCGCCAAGCTGACACAAAGGCCCTGCTTCTAGGATGATGTCCCCCAGAGGAACAGGCCAGGCCAAACACAGCATCGGGGGGTGTAGGTGATGCAGGTCACAGAGGCCGCTTCTCCCCACAGTCTCCTACTCACTGGTGTTATAAAAAGCATGTTATGACTGCATAAAGTACTGCTCATTGCTCGGTTTCCAACTGTCACTGCGAGTGGGTTTCAGCACAGGGGCTGAGTGCAGACCTCGCTTCTAGCAAGCCCACTTTGGGCACGACCCTTGCCCCCTCAGAACAAGGATGCCGGGTCTGTGGGTAGGTCTCGTGAGCTATGGCATGAAGCTCGTCTGGCTGGGACATGGTGGTCAGCGGCATCTCAGAGGGCTGTTGGAGACATTCATAGCCTGCCCGCAAGTTAGTGAAATCCCCTCTAATCCCATCCCCAGAGAAACCACAGTTGACAGTTGCATACATTGCCCACCATCTTCTTCCCGTCATCTGTGACTATCTATGGATTTTAAAATGTAATCAGGACATCCCATTCAGTCTGTATACACTGCTTTATTCTCTGAATGTTGACTGTTTTCCTGCTCCTTTGAACGTTCCCCGAAAACCACTTGGAACACCCTCAGCTGGGTCACAGTGCCCTGGGCATGGATTTCACACTGGGCCCACCTCTTGATGCTTTGAGTGGGCCCAGGGACGAACTTCTCTTCAAACACCGTCCTCTCCCATAGAGGTGAATATGTCCGAGGAGGAAGGGTAAACTGGGCCACCATCTTTTATGTGTTGGTGTGGTGGTTCATGGCCTGGCTTCCAGGTCACTCTTGTGGGGTGTTTTTTCTGGTCCTCTGGGCACCTTCTGCGCCCTGCACTTTCCCAGTGCTGCCCTAGGTCTCAAGGCGGAGTGTTGAGGAGCGTGACGCTTTTCTAGAGCCAGGGTCTCTGGCCTGTGGACTGGTGGGAGGGAAACAGGGGATGAGGTAGAGGACTGTTAGTGAGCCAAGATCGTGCCACTGCACTCCAGCCCTGGGGCACAGGACGTGAGACCCATCTCACACCGGAGCCGGGAAGGTGTTGCGATGGGCCCGCAGCGACCAGGAGAATGTGGTGGGCAGTGGCGGAGGTTGGGGAGCAGTTTGATGTGGGGCTCCCAGCTTGTCACAGGCCCTGGGGTCGAGTCCCAGCAGAGCCCCTTAACACAGGCACACTTGTTCCCAGCTGAGAGTGCTGGTGTTGTTGTTCCCCCATTGCCCCACTGTTTCTTGCCAAAGCTCAGTTGTCTGTGGCATCTTTGCGGCACTCTTGGTTCTTGTGTGTTACTCCTTTGGCCGGTGTGCACACTCGCCCTGCAGGAGCCTCTCTCCAGGTTACAGGCTGGGCTGTGGCTTGTCAGGTCCCTTCCTGGGGGCCCAACCTTCGTCGGGGTCTTGAGCCCATTGAGGGCAGGGAAGCACATCTTCCAGTCCTGGGACCCGCAGTTCAGCACCAGCCAGGTTTCCCTAGAAGTAGAGGCTATGGCTGTCTTCAGGAGCCTGTGCCGGGCCAGTCTGACCAGAATGGGTGGGTGGATGGGCTCCTCGGACAACAGCCTTGGGCACTGGCTGTCCCCTTCCCTGCATGCCTCTGTCCCACCAAGCACAGCCAGGGTGGGTGTCCCCTGGGCTGGTGCTACTGCTTGTTTCCCCTTGCCGCTTGCCAGACATCGTCTCAGAGCTTCTGAAACAGATAAGCCGGGCTCCGAACCCCCATCTTAAGGACAGAGAGAAGGGTGAGAAGCTTGCCCCAGTCACTGCTGTGGGACTGTGATGAGCCCAAACAGTGAGTCTACACCGCATAACTCACGCAGAACCTGTGAATGTGGCCCCTTAATTGGAAATAGGGAAGTCTTTGCAGGTATAATTAAGGTCAGCATTTCCAGACTGACATTATCTTAGGGCGTAGGGAAGGTCCTTATATCCAGTGACAAGTGTCCTTGGAATTACCAGAGACACAGAGGGGAGGCTTCGTGAGGGCTGAAGGCAGGGATTGCAGTGCATGCAGCCACAAGCCGAGGGTTGCCTGGAGGCTCGGGAGGCTTCTCACTCTGCAGAGTGGAAGGGGTCCTCTCAGAGGCCTGCAGAGGGAGCATGGCTTGCTCCTGGATTTTGGATTGTTGAGCCTCCCAGAACTGAGAGTTTACTGCTGTAAGATACGAGTTGTGGTCATTTGTTATGACAGACGGGAAATTAACCCAGTCCTGTAGAAGATCTGAGGTCTGCAGACGGCAAACCTGCCATCTTCCTCTCCCAAAGGTGACCCCCTACTTCTCTCCAAAGATCTCCAGAGCAGCTGGAGAGAGTTCTCCTTGGAAGATCCCCTTTCTTGGTGGCAGTCCGGCTGGGACCAGGGCCAGCTGACAGTCATGGTCACAGTAGGAGCTGTCCACCAGGAAGTGGTGGCCTGGGCCTGAACCTCAGCCATCCTACCTGGTCACATCTAAGC